TTGATGTCCCTAAATTTGCGCGATTTGAATTCCTTTTTCTTCTTCATTGGCTACAAAGTCGTCTAGATATTGGCAGATTTTGTGACAGATGTTTCCTTTTATGGTAAAAAGTTGTCATCCCTACGCCGAACGCCTTACAGTCATATAGACTGAGGCCTACCGTTTAGTGGATTCGAACCCCTACGCCAAACATCCATTCCATCGCCAAAACCCGAACCCAAAACCTGTGGCACCAGGTGCCAGAAAGCTAGTCACTCGGATCAGGCCCCACTTGAATTTCTAAACAACCTAAATAGTTTGGAATATTTGATAATGAAAACGCTGATTTTCCTTTCAAAATGAACCTTTATAGGCCTGATGATCGGTGATGGAATGGGGTGGGGGGAGTATAACAAATTGCTTTCTGAAACAAATCCTCTGTGTGACTAATCCTCAGTCTCCTGCAGTGATCTACTCATGGATGGAGAGAAAGGGGGTAGCTTCTGTTGTGATGGAGCACCCCTAGGGAGAAGTCTGACTTTGCTCCGTGATGCTCTTACAGTTATATGAGACCGGGACCTACGGCTTAAAGTGGATTCCGAACCGCTCCAAACATCCGTGGCACCGCCGTTACTCGAACCCGAAACCTGTGGCACCGAGCGCCAGACATTCGGCCATAAAGTACATTGTGAGTCAAAAGTGAATCCTTTTAACACACTTTTTAGGACTCGTCCTAAATCATAAAGTTTCACAACCTTTCGAGGTAAATTTTTATATGTTTTATAACTTTTAAAAAGAGGGTCCTCTTTTTGTATTTCAACTCATATATTTCTTCCAACAAGATTTTTTTTTTCTAATGCAGCTGGCAAACATACATGGACGTCTTGGATGCCTTAAGGCAAGCGCTGCACAGACGTTACTCACTTTGCATGGCCCAGGGGCGCGTGTAACTTGAAGATACGGACGCGGTGTAACAATGCCCCGACAACGCTCTACGATCCTATTAGGACCGGGACCTACGGCTTAAAGAGGATTCCGAACCACTACACACATTCATGGGCAAAGCCGGGATTTGAACCCGATACCTGTGATACCGAATGCCGGAGCGCTAGCCATTCGGCCTCTTCGAACAGACATTAGAGAGTTTTTGCATACCGTACGTTAGTTACCGTAGGACGTCCGTTAGCTTTTTCTCCCTAGCGCGCATGCTCATAGGAAACTGCGCATGCGCGCTAAGGGAGAAAAAGCTAACGACGTCCACCCTTCTACGGTATGCAAAACCTCTCTTATTAAATACATCGAACAGACAGTAAATAATAAAGTTTTTTTCTATAAATCTCACATTTTAAAGACATTTAATATTAAATATTTTTTTTAATTAATTGAAATTGTTAAAATGATTAATATTTATCTTGCTGTATATTCAAGTGAATGGACCCCATTCCACAACCGAGGTTCATAAGTCATATAAATAGGACATTCGTGAAGATGCTTACAACTCTTCTGTCATAACATCTCTGAAAAGGAGATTAACAGAAACCTGAAAGGATGGCTTTTGAAATTCATCAGTTTTGTTACTTTAGCCGTCATCATTTTTGTCAGATTTGAATGCTGGTTTTATTTTAAAATGTTTCTTACATTCTAAATTATTTCTTTTAATATGTTGTTCTAATGCAGCTGGCAAACACTTAGACAGCTTGGTCTTGGATGCCTTAAGGCAAGCGCTGCACAGACGTTACTCACTTTGCATGACCCTGGGGGCGCGTGTCACTTGAAGATAAACCACGGACGCGGAGTCACAATGCCCCCCGCGACGTTCTACGATCCTATTAGACTGGGACCTACGGTTTAAAGTGGATTCCGAACCACTACAAACATTCATGGCATCCATCGCCGGGACTCGAACCCTGTGGTACCGAGTGCCACAGCTCTAGTCACTCGGCCGTTCAGGCCCTTTTCTTTTAATATAGATTTGAAAAATCGATTTTTAAAAAAAAAACAGTTACTATTCCCCCTAAAGATTTTTAATAGTATGTATAGTTTTGAAGTGATTAACATTTCAAACTGAACATGCAAACTTCCAGTCTAATCCACTTCAATCTTGGAAAAGCTGCGCAAACGAACTGATTTTATAGTTTTTCTTTCACATCAAAACTTATATAATCAACTACCTTTGCATAGTTGGGCCTGAATGGCCGAGTGGCTAGTGCTCTGGCGCTCGGAACCACAGGTTTCGGGTTCGAATCAGGGCGGTGCCATGGATGCTTGTAGTGGTTCGGATTCCACTTTAAGACGTAGTTCCCGGTCTAATAGGATCGTAGAGCGTTGCGGGGGCATTGTTACTCCGCGTCCGCGGCTTATTTTCAAGTGACACGCGCCCCCTGGGTCATGCAAAGTGAGTAACGTCTGTGCAGCGTTTGCCTTAAGGCATCCAAGACCAAGCTGTCTAAGTATTTGCCAGCTGCATTAGAAAGAAAAAAAAACTACTGTGCCCAAAAAATAAGACCAATTATTTATTTTTCAAAAACTCATTATTCCTTCTTCCAAATTTATTTCATCGCCTTCAAAGTAATCACTTCCTGACACAATGCACTCATGCCAATTTTTTTTTCCAATCCTCAATGCATGCTAAAAAGTCGTCGGCAGGGATGGCCTTCAAAGCGCGCGGCGATTCACGTTGAATCTTTTCAATCGACTCGAAACGGTGTCCCCGGAGTCATCTTTTGGGCTTAAGGCTCGTTCCCACCGAGGCGAGAGACGTGAAGATGCAAGAGGCAAGCGACAAAATTTTTTCGACCCCTTCACAGCGAAACGTCAGAAATAGCATTACGCCTAGTGAAAAACCGCTTCGAGTTGAAATTCGGGCAACTCCAAGTGGTGGACTGCAAACCGGTTTCAGGCGACCGCGGTGAGGCTAGTGATTGGTCAAATTTTTTCGTTTGCATCTTGTCGCCTTGGTGAGCACGAGCCTTTAGGCATAGCCAGAAGTCGCAAGGTGCGAATACGGTGATTGTGGAACGATATGGGTTTCACACATATGGCGATATTCTTTACTTTGGCGATTACTACACCCGTTTTGGCGCGAAAGGAAAAAAAAAAGGTTGGTTCATTTTTTCAGCTGTAAACAAATTTAAATGTAATTTTTCTAAATATATATTCTATCAATAAATTTTCTTGTGTCATATTTTCCTTCCAAAAGAATTCAAAAATAAAATAGTCATTTATATGAATATTTCGTAATGTTTGATTCTATTCCGTACCAAATAATCATAATTATCAGTTTTCAACATTTCTTTTATCTATTGATCTTTAGGACACACCTAGCTCAATAAATGTATGACTCGAGAAGAAGAATTTCTCAGAATATTCAGAATCGTTTCATAACGTGATTTCGGAATAAATGATGGCAGGAAAAAGCAGCCAGCAGGCGATTCAGCGCCAACTCTAGCACGAAAAGGCCAAGAGATATTTGCCTCAAATTTCTGTTCTATTAGAATAGGGGAGCGCGCTATATTTTATTAGCCTATACCTTCAATGTTTAGTACAGGGATGGCTAACCCAAATGATCTTTCGGGGTACTTTAGAAATGCATCCTTACTCCGTGGGCCGCCTATAAAATTATCTGTCCCCCTATTAGATTGAGAGCCACTGTAGACATTTTACGAATTGAAAAATGGAAACAGAATGAGTTATTATTTTTGTGTTTACTATTATTGTTACATGTAAACATAAATAATATAATACTAATGATACTAAACGCACATTGTAAAGAAATACACTCAAGAGCCAAAACATTATGACCACCCCTACATTTCGCAATGAACTCGCCTGGATGACGTGGAAGGCACGTGATCAGGTGGAAGTGGTATTCAACTGATATTAAGTGGTGGTATTAATCCATGCCAAGGCGGATTGAAGCTGTGTTAAGGTGGGCCAACTCGTTATTGACAGGTGGTCAAAAAGCTCTTGAGTGTATAAGAACACTAAAAATGAACTTTAAATAATGAATAAATATAATCGAAATAAGAATAAGGAAATCATTCAAAAACATATATTTTACGAGTGCGATATGTGTTTCTCCACTCTCTCACTGAGATTTTGCGAAGCGATCTCCGTTTGGGTATTGGCACATCGTAATGAGTTTTGCAGGTGAGCGTCCGTTCTATTTTGAGCGTGTTTTGTGTTGGGTCCATTTCATTTTCGAAAAAGAAAATTATTCGCGGGTGTAAGTTGAACCCAAAGCGCCAACAATTGGAGCTGAGAGTCTGGTTTGCCCTGCTATCAACAATCCACAGGGTGTATCTAGGGATGGTCCCTGTGTCACTGAGGTAACTTAAAGTGAAACATAGAACGTGTTATATTAGATGTTCCAAGATTAGCGGCCGTCATGAGTTCGCAGAATATAATGTAATTATTCTGCGAACTCATAATTGTAAAATCTTCCATAAAACAGGCAATATATATCCTCTATTCGCTAGAATATTGTTTTAAAATCAATAACTTTTCCTCATCCTTTCGACAGTTCATTTTTGTATAGAGGGATGCACACATAATGCATTTTTTTATCACATTGTTTTTCACTCCTTTGGCCATTCTAAAATAAATACATTTAGTAAACTGTGATGCGTTTCAAGGGACCAGAAAAATTTTCAAGGTGGGTCGCGGATTGGCCACCCCTGGTTTAGTTTGTGTGTTCAGCAAAGAGTGAATAGATGGAACTCATAGCTTTGAACATGTTGTTGTTGTTGTTTCTCATCCTACTTGGCTGGCCAAGCCCACGAGCCCATACGTACTCATGATTGAAGGGGAAGGAAGCAGCTTCTGTTGTGATGGAGCACCCGTAGGTAGAAGTCTGACTTTGGCTCCGTGACGCTCTTACAGAGATAGGAGACCGGGACCTACGGCTTAAAGTGGATTCCGAACCACTACAAACACCCATGGGCACCACCGGGATTCGAACCCGAAACGTGGCGCCAGAGCACTCGACACTCGGCCATTCAGGTCCCAAATGTGTGAATGCCAACGGTACGCGGTGTTCCCAGGTTGTCACCCACCGAAGTACTGACCGCGCCCAATGATGATTGACTTGACTCTAACAAGAACTGGTATATTCAGCATGGTATGGCCGTTGGCTTTGAACATGCTTGCCATAAATGAAAACTGCTCCATACTAAGCAGATACCAAAATTCAACTATTACATCTCTTCTTGTCAGAGACTCAACAATGGCATTTTACACTTTGACAAGTTACATAATGAGCTTATTTGTTGTCGTCGGACTAAGTTGGTATGCGGCTCACGCGCAACAGAGAGAGGAGCTCCTTGCGCAACTTCCGTCCACAAGCAGAACGGTTTTTGTGAATCACCTCTGAGCCTTACGCATCCGGGTTAATCCGAGTGACCTTCTTTGCGCCGTGTCCTCTGGGAGCAAAGGGTTGAGATGGGGGGGACTTCTCTTTTGGAAATCCAGAGAAGCGATGATTGGGTGATCATCGTTATTTTCTGATTATTGGAATGAAAGAAAGCTTGCTATGTGGAGATCAAAGGGGTTCAAATCTTGCAGCTGTGATGTAAGATTAGGCCGGTTCGTTGTTGAAAAAAAGAATCGGATCGTTTAATTTGCAATAAAAGGAAAAAACATCGAATATAAATTTTTTTTTTTTCGTATTTAAATGTTTATTTTGGCGCCTGAATGGCCGAGTGCCCAGCGCTCGGTGCCACAGGTTTCGGGTTTCAGTCCCGGCGGTGCCATGAATGTGTGTAGTGATTCGGAATCCACTTTAAACCGTAGATCGCGGTCTAACAGGATCGTAGAGCGATGCGGGGTAGTGTTAGTCAGCATCCGTGGCTTATCTTCAAGCTACACGCACCTAAGTGTGCGTGAGGGCTAAGTGAGTAACGTCGGTTACTCACTTACGTAAAAACATTCTCCACGTTTTGCCAACACACACACAGAAAATTTTCCCAAAATTGGTCCAGCCGTTTTGGAGGAGTTCAGTGACAAACTCACGTACAGAAGATTTATATAAAGAAGTTTTCTAATGAAATTAAAAATTCTCTCCAGATTCATTAATGCATTAAAATAAAAATGATGTAGCAGTTAAAATGTTTATTTAAGCTAAAAATTAAATTTTAATGTGACTAATAGAGTATTAATCACATTAAAATATAATATATAGCATAACATATATATTATATTTTATAGAGTATATAATAATATATACATATATAACATATTTCATAGAGTTATGACTCATTGTCAGAAAATCACTTTTTTTTAAAAAAAAATTCGCTAGTGTACTTATAATTTAGCTTCAATTAAAAAGAATATACCTATATATATATATATATATATATAGTTTAATTTAAAAACGCATGTATATATTTTGTAAATTTATTTATAACCAATTGCAATATTAGTAGAATGAACTCTAAATCATTTTCGCAAATAAAGGGAGGATAAAAAATCGTGAAAACATTGAATGAATTTGTTTGTAAATTATGTTTGTTGTTTCTTATCCCACTTGGCTGGCCAAGCCCACGAGCTCATATGTACTCATGATTGAAGGGGAAGGAAGCAGCTTCTGTTGGGATGGAGCACCCGTAGGTAGAAGTCTGACTTTGACTCCATGACGCTCTGACATAGGAGACCGGGACCTACGGCTTAAAGTGGATTCTGAACCACTACAAACATCCATGGCACCGCCGGGATTCGAACCCGAAACCTGTGGCACAGAGCGCCAGAGCGCTAGACACTCGGGAATTCAGGTCCCAAATTTGTGAATGCCAACGGCACGCGGTTGTTCCCAGGTGGTCACCCACCCAAGTACTGACCGCGCCCAATGATGCTTGACTTCGATTTGTAAATTATTAAATCAATAAAAATAATTAATTTCTGAAATCAAATAGCGTAATAAATTAATATTAGTTGAAAAAATTTAATTTCGGAATTAATTAAATGAAAGCACTACTGAATAAATTTATTAGCAAATTTATTTAAAAGAAATTTTTTTCATCAATTAATCATAATCTCAGTCTCTATCTTTAAATAATATTTAGGAACGTAATGAAACTAAAATTTTCCCTAAATTAAGAAAGGAACTAACATTTTTAGTTAGTGAAT